GTGGCCTATCAGAGAATTATATATGAATAATAAATAATAAAAAAAGGAGATTCCCTATTCCATTTTATTTTATGGGTTAGTTTAAATGTCGCCTCATCATTGGTTTAACCTTCTTTTCTTTTTATAATAACACATAACATACAACGAATTTTAATTAAGAAGACGTTTAATAAGGAGATTCATACTATTATTTGAATCATAATTTATAATTTGTTATAATATTTTTTTTTATGAAAAATACGCGTAAATTAAAAATAATTCTAAGGATTTAAATCTTCTCATGAACCCCAATATTTTGTTTTTTCTCCTAATAAAATATTACAGTAATTGAAATGAACAGGAAAACTTATTATTATATACGTATATTATATAATGTATATCATATAATAAATATATATATTGAGTATGGGCCTATAGCACGTGGCAGTTCAAGAGAGATTAGTTTAAAGCCCAACGCGACACAGAACTGTAGTTGATATCTTATCTCCCACCAAAACACGACTCCAAAGAAGCTACGACAATTAACATAGGCTTTGCACGTGTCCTCTTTGTTCGACTCTCTTTATGTCATAACCACCAGATTTTCGCCACGTCATCTATCTGCAGACAAGAAATGACGACGTAATGGGTTACCAAGTTTTGACCGAAGAGCAGGTGGCGAAATATCATTGGGTTACGTGTGACAGTGACAGTCCTTGTCCTCAGCCAAACAATTATATTATATTGGTGGATAAATATTATTTTATTCACAATTTTTATAATTGCTTTTAGAAATTTATTAGATGCCTGCTTGTTCTTCTTTTCTCTATAGTAATTCTTTATTTTTCAGTCTTAAATCTGCGCCATTTATTATATATTTTAAATACATTTTTAATTTGACATAATTTTAATTAAATGTAACGATTAAAAATTAAAAAATCTATCTACTAGAAAATGTATTTTTTATTTGATGATTTTTACGGTGAGATTTGGTAAATGAATTATCAATAAATTACTATTTTTCAACTGTAATAATTATATCATAAATTATTTATTAACATGCATATATTTTTAATTTAACGTGATTTTAATAAGATTCAATAGTCAGAGATGTATACTAACGTTAAAGAGTCTTACCATAAAAAAGATTTTAAAAAAATTCATCATTTGTTTAATGTTTATGTTGAATGAGAATCAAAACTAGACACGGTTGGTTTGCAGTCAATGACGAGCTATTTAAAAATGAGCAGAGCAGTTGCCACTACTCAAATTTTTTTTAAAAAAAATATTACCTTTAAAAATTTTAAAATTTTATACTTAATTTTTATTAAAATAATATATACCCTTACTAAAATACATATATATTTTTTATATGCTCTTATTAAAAAAATTTATTAAAAAATTTTAATTTACACATCCATTAAAATAAAAAGTTGACTCCGTCACTATTTACAGTAGTGGCTCAGGATAATCATTCTCATGGCTCGACTCATCCATCAATGGCTTTATATATAAATTAAAAAAAATCTCTGCATATATATATTAATTAAAATATCTCTGCATATTGTCACACATTAATGCATTATAGTGATGTTTCATTAAATTGATTGGTCCCCGATTCCAGTCTTTTTTTAAGTTTTTCTTTAATCTTTAATCCGTTTTTTTTATCTAACATTTTATAGTGTTATACAGGAAGTGTATTTTTTTTAGTTTTCATTACTGCAAATGTATATAAAACGATTGAATTTTATATGAAAATGTATAACTTGTATAGATCAACATGCTATTTTGACTAATAAGATTATCAAAATACTCTTGAAAAAGAAATAAAAGGAAAATTTTGCTCAAAAAAATTAAAAGGAGGAAGAAAAAAATATTAAAAATCCAAGAATTAGAAAATAATAAATAAATTTTCACCTTTATATGTTTAAAAGTTTAAAAGTTATTTTAATTGCTTTTTCCTTTTTCCCTTGTAAGATATTTTTCATCTTCTAGCTAAAATAGACCGTTGTTGACAAAAGGTGTATATTCGTCCTTTAAATACAGCGTGATGATGGTCTCGTTCATTTCATCAATTTGACTTTTTAATTTTAAGTTTTTACAGTAAAAATTTTTCAGAAAATATCACATCTAACTTTTTTTGTTATAGTGAAAAGCTCTTAAAAAATATCACATCTCAACTCGAATTGAAAATTCAAATCTGTAAAGTTAACGAAACCGATATATATTTGTGACAATGAAAAAATAATTGTATTTTCTAAGAAACGTCAAAATGCACCATAAAAAAATATATATATATAAACCTCGTTTCAAAATGCACGATAGAAAGTTCTTTTCTGTAGACTTTAGATGCATTGTTGAATGAGGAATTGATCGCAATCAATCGAAAGTTCATTTCCATAAACTTTAGATGCGTTGCTGAATGAGGAATATACGCTCTATTCAATTTTCCTATCGAAATTTGGCACACGTAATTCCTTTGAGCTTTAGTCGTATTTATTGTAAATCCGATATTTGTTCAGAGTTGGGTTTCGTTATGTAGTGGGATCATTCACGTCAGTATTAGCGTTCATATCTCTTTTTTTTTTTTTTTTTTAATTTCTTTTACACATATATAAATATATTCTATCAATATATATCTTTAACACCTCACGTGCAATTCATTTTTATTTATAAAGCATTGTTCTTCTTTCAACTCATTGTAGATATTTCTTCTATATATCTAAACTCATGTTCCGTTTTTTTTCGCTGATTCGAGTTTAAAATTTGAGTTTTGTTACAGTAAAAAATTTTCAGAAACAGTCACATCTAACTTTTTTACTACAGAAAAAAACTCTCACACAACATCACATCTCAATTCGAATTAAAAATTTAAATTAACGAACCGAATGGGATAATGAAACGAATATTTCCGGAGGATCAAAGGGGGTAGGTAAAGATTCAGAAAATTTTGTTTTTATCACTTCATTATATGATAAAAAAATAAATAAAAATAAACTTGTTTATTGAGGCCGTATGGACGTTTTGCCCGAAATCAGTATTAATAAATACTTTTCACAAAATTTGTTAATGACATAAATTTCTCCAAGAAACTAGGAAGAAAGCAAGCTGTAACCCAAAGCAAAGGCTACTAAACTCGAAAGAAAATCGAAAGACAGAAAGATATTTGGCAACAACGTGATTCCCCTGGCCGACACTAAGGACACAGTTAATTAAAAACTAAGATGATGACGACCACTATGATGACAAAAAAAGCAATTAACTATCATATCCCAAAAGTATACAGGAATACTTGAATCCCAAAATGTACTTATTAATTATTATGCAGCCGTCGGTTTATTACCCCAGCTTGAGTTTTTTTTTTCTTTTTCTAATCAAAATGTACTTATTATGCAGCGTCGGTTTATTACCCAGCTTGAGCCTCATTTCTCAAAGTTCGTGGTCTAGAAGAGAGAGAATGATAATTTTTTTCTAACAAGATTAAAAAAAATGAATTAGTGATAATTTTTTTATTTTTTAATTATAAAATATGTATTAAAAATTATCAATTGTACATATTTTTTAATTTAATATAATTTTAATTAAATATTATTATTAAAAACTGATACTACTAATAAAAGACCCACTAAAAAAAAGTCTCAAAGGACAATATTTACTTTCAGTCACAAAAAGAAGCGCAAAAGATAATTTTATGATGGGGTATAGGAAATGTGCAACTTTAAAGCACTCTTTGTAGGATTAGGGGAAAAAAAAAGTACTCTTTGTAGGATCAGGGAAAAAAAAAGTACTCTTTGTAGAAAAAGTAAAAAAGAAAAAAAAACTAAAAATTACTATACGTTCTCTTATTAGTTATGAAATTGTGCAAAGCAAACAGAAATCAATATAGAGTTTTAAGAGATTATCTTCGGTAAGCTGTCTTATCGATATAACTAGTTTTATAATTATTAAATCTGATTAAAATTAAATAAAATTAAAAAAATATGTATAACAAATAATTTTTAATGTATGTGTCGGCTAAAAATTGCTAAAAAATAAAAGTATTATAGTTCTATTTTTTTAATTTTACGGGAGAAACTCTATAGTTTAACACAAAATCTTATCCGGTGCTTTTTTCACCAATTTAGTTTTGAAAAAAAAATTAATACGTACACGAGTTAAAATTTAAGAATTTTTTTGCGCTTTTGCTCCTAAGATTTGATTGGTTGTAAGTTGTCTAATTAACTTTTGTTAATTATCTCTTAAATTTAATAAAATATTGCAAAATACCCCGAAATCAATCAACCATAATAAAGTTAGAAAGAAACCTAGTTTTCTCATAAATGATCTCATGTAATATGCATAGAGTATTTTTGTTCAGATTTTAACACCTGCCGCAATTTTTTTTAAGGGAAAATTTCATTCCAAAATTAACAAATTACTTACATAATAATAGTTGCAAATGACCACAAATTATTAAGAAATCCGGCCTTAAATATTGAATGGATCTATCAATAAAGATAGATGAAGCACAATAACAAATACAAGTATTGAGACTCAACAAGAAAAAATCTGCTCGTCATAAATAAAATTGAGCGTGATTAAAACTCGTTACAAAAAATCACTACAGTTAATAAATAAAACTAATCAACTAAGACTAAATTTAAATACTAAAAACACAAATAACGCGTCTTAAAAAAAAATTTAACCGTAAACGAACACACACTCTCAATAATAAACTCAGACACCTCCGCCGTAAATTTAAACACTGCAAAACTTTTTTTTATTAAATGCTATATAGTTGGTTAAAATTAAAAACTCACAAAGGTAATTTCTCAACAGCGAAAAATTCATGAATAAGTGTGTCAAATACCAAAAAAAAAATAGTATTACAACCGTCAAAACAAAATTTAGTGCGGAAAACAAAGCAGCCATGAGCCAACAACACACCGCACAACAAAGGGCACATTTGGAAGCCAATATATATAAACAAGAAGCACATGCATTTCAGAATTACCACAAAAACTGAAAAAACTCCATTATTCATGACTCATCCTTCCCAACCACCTTCCGCACGCTCGACAAAAACGAGGCTCGAGCCCCGGAAGAAGGTCCAGCTGGCCTCGGAGCTCGGCCTGCAGCCGAGGCAGGTCGCGATTTGGTTCCAGAACAAGAGGGCTCGCTGGAAGTCCAAGCAGCTCGAGAGAGATTACAGCATACTGTTGGCCGATTACAATAGCTTGGCCTCTCGTTTCGAAGCCCTGAAGAAAGAAAAACAGAGTCTGGTTCTTCAGGTTCGACAATTTTAACAACTTTTTTGCTACAGTAATTTTTTATTTTATTTTTTTTTAAGACCTGTGTTTGAGAATTCTTGTGTGTTTTTTTTTTTCTATTTTGGCAGTTGCAGAAGTTGAATAATGATGTGAAGCAGCGGCCGCGAGAGGAATCGGAGAATGAAAAAGCGGCCAAATCCGAATCTGAAGCGAAACCGAGTTCGTCAATTGAAAAATCCGAACATGTTTTGGGTGTTTTGTCGGATGATGATAGTAATAGGAAAGCAGAGTATTTTGGACTAGAGGACCAGCAAGAGCTTCTAAACATGAACATGGCGGAACCCAAACCTGCCGATAGTTCGCCGGAAAATTGGGGAAGCTTGAACTCAGAAACTCTTTTCAACGAATCTAGTGGCGGGGGTGCGTAACTCAGAAACTCTTTTCAACGAATCTAGTGGCGGTTATCAGTGGTGGGATTTTTGGTCTTGAATAAAAAATAATCAAAATATGATATGATCAGTGCTTGATGAATTTTCTGATGCAGAGTTTCTTTCCTTTTTGGGGGAGGGGGCTCAGAATTGGTTAGTTTGGAGAAATTTATTAGTTGCCAAAAGGAGGTAATTTTGGCTTGTGCGGATTTGTCAACAAACCCAATACTGCCTCTTCTCTTATTGGGAAATGAAAATTGTAGTTCCTCGTGAAGAATTAGATTTATGACCCCAGTTGAAATAAAAATAATAAGGCAGCCGTTAGATTAGCTAGCCTTTAGGACGCATTCCGAGGATGGGCTTTTTTTTTTTATTTTTTTTTTTATTTTTTAGTTTCTTAGTATCAATTAGAATTTAGAAGTGTGTGTATATTTGCTTCATGAGAATTGAGAGATTGTACAGAACTTTGAAGGGCCTTCTCTTTTTTGTCCTACTATGTACTATTATCATGTACCATTTGTTTCCTTTTTTTTTTTTTTTTTTTCCCTTCATTTCTTTTTGCATAATTAAGGTGACCAATTTACATTAACAAATAGAAGCTGAACATTAATTAGAGCCGCCAATTCAACACCAAAATTGGGAAAATGTGTTTTGAATATTCAAACTGAATATACTTGGGAATTTTTTCCATAACAAACTAATGATGTCATTCATGCCCTATAGAGAATCCAAAGGGACAGAGATTATTTTTTTTTTATTATTGTTCAATCTTCAATAAGCAAATTAGATAAAAAAATCAATCGGTATCAAAGTTCTTGGAGGCTCATTAAACTTGTAAGGAGGAGATAAGGCTTATGGGTGAGCAAATTGAGTGAGTGACACGTTGAAGTAGTTCTAGCTTAAACATGGCGATACGAGTACTCATCTACGGATCAACACGAGAGTTTGAAAGCAACCGTTTGGGAGCATCACAACTAATTCCAAAGCTCGAAAAATTGCTGGCTTGCTATTTTGTTCTCAATACGGCACAGCACAGATGTGATCCTAAAATGTCAACAAGCGTGAATCAACTTCAATGAATATCTCCATCATCGACTCCTTCTCACCATTATTATAAATAAAAAATTTAAAAAAAGGGGTCCAAAAAAAAAAAAAAAACATGTGGGACTAAAAGGGTGATTATCAGCCACTATAAAGACTTTCAACATCGACACAATGTGATGAATGGAATTAGCTTTAGGAATGGACAAAGCTAGCTCTCCTCCTCGTCACACTTTGATTCAGTCGGTGCCCTATACAAACATGATCCAAATATGACGTTTCCTGGGGAAAGAAAAAACCATATGAGCTTCGAAAACAACAGCAGCAAAGAAACGAATATAGAGTTTTATAGAAGGCAGCTTTTTATTGGTTAAGGTTTGGACTTTTGTATTATTGAGTTCACTAAGAGAAATAAATAATTATATGTTTATACATATTTCCTGATTATTTTACCCTGAGTAATCAAAGTGTAAAATCGTCTCTTTATTAACTAATAATTTTGGTCACCGACATTTTTTTGCAATAGTTTTGCCATGTACTGGCAAAAGTCGATCCACGGCCTCTTTTACTGGCCCTCTACATAATTATATCATCCTCAAAAGGTAGTTTGAAGCGGAAACGGCTCAAATCACATATAAACATCTTAACAATCCAATAACTTACTTATGTGAGACAAATTCATAATTAAACATCCTCCATCATGCCCTACATCAGGATGCAGGAGGCCAGGGTTCAAACTCCAAACCCAATATTCTTTATAAAATCTAGCTATGATACCATGTTAAATGGATTTGGGTAGAATTCTCTCCAAAAGCTAGTTCAAATGAAGAGAAGGGCAAAACCACATATCAGTATGGGACAAATTTACAATCTAAAAAAAAAAAAAAAACATTTGTCAAATCGAGTTTTTATTAATTAAATACTAATCTTAACTAAGATTTTTACACAAGAACATTGATATTTAGGACTTAACATGTGAACAAAATGGTCACATATAAAAAAATATGATAGTTAAGTCTCATATAACTATGACAATTTTGATCGTAATGATCGTATCACTATATATATATATATATATATATATATATATAATTGGACCATGCTTTGCTGTTGTTTGGGTATGGTTACCATAAAACAATTATAATTGTCAAATTGAGTAATAATATTATTGTTTTCATTCTCATATCTTGTCATAATTTTCATAATATCGCGTGATTATCAATGTTACATAACAAATTAAATACTCATGTGTATGTATCAACGATTCTCGTGAAGCAATTTTTTTCCTTTCTAGTCTCATCAAATCATGCTGAGCATAAGCAAATTTTCGAAATGTCATTGTTTTCATTCTCACATCACATCACCATAATCTTGTGTTTTAATGACCTAGATTAATTACAGTAATGTTATTATAATTGACACAAACATAAGTAAGTCGAGCCCTTTACAAAATATACACAATATTTTTATTGTTTATTAAAAAAATTAAATATCATTCTTACCTCATTAATTAAAAAATAAAAATAAAAAGTTACAGCTTTTATTGATCTTTCACAAAGTTTAAATAAATGATTTTTTTGTTATGACGGTGTTTCTTTCAGCAAGAATAAGATCAGGTACATATTTTGTATTTCCTCAGCAGAATACTATTTTCCATGCCTTTTCCTCTTTTAACACTTAACTGATAGGAAGAACAAAACTTAAAAAAAAATGATAGATTAATCTATTCATTTCACCGGTTTAGAATTTGAGTTTTGTTACATTAAAAAGTTCTTAAAAATAATCACATTTAATTTTTTTACTACAGTAAAAAATTCTCACATAAAATTATATCTCAACTCGAATTAAAAACTCGAATCAGCGAATTAAACGAGCTCTAAGATTAATTTGAAACGTTTTAAAATTTAAGAACTAAACTAGAATTAAGGCAAAATTGAGGGACTATTTATAAAATTAACCTTTTCATTTAACATTCCCGAGGTAGACAAGTGAAAAAAAAAAAAAGCACCCACTGAAAAACGACACCGTCCAATAAGCGATCTCTGCACTCCACCTTTCACGGGTTTTCGCTTGTGCGTTGACCATAAAACGACACTTCTCTCTTTGCTCCTACTGATTCACTTCAGAGGGAGAGAGAGAGAGAGAGAGAGAGGAGAGAGAGAGGCACTGATGAACGACCTCTCCAATGGAGTTCTGGTAGAGAAGAACACTTGCAGCTGCAAACCCATTCCGTCTCTGGCCCTCTACATTCTGATTCCCCTCTTCTTCGTTGGCCTTTCTCTCTCCATTTTCCTCCTCGTCGTCGTCCGCAACGCGGCTTTCTTCCTCTTCTTCCTCTTCCTCTCCTCTCTCGTCCTCGCTTTCATCCTCTGGAACACCCGTAACTCCACCGCCAAAGCCGCCATTCTCTTCTTCCTCCGCTCTCTTCCTCACTCCGACCTCCGTCACGCCCCAGAAGGCCGCCTCGTCAAGATCACTGGGGTATTCTCCTTTTTTTTTCCCTGTCTTTTAAGCTCTTTTTTCGACATGGGTTTCTTGTTTCCTTTCTTGGGGGTCCATTTTTATTGTTCAAGTTTGTCTCTTTGTGATTGTGTTGGAATGCAATGCATTATTTGGGTTATGGGTGTGCTGAGAAAATTCTCGAAGAACAATTACAAAACGGGTAGCTTTAATATTGTGTGTGCGTGTGTGTTTATATTTTTTGTGGTCTGTGTTTTGTCGGGAAAAAAAGACAGGACAATTAGTGGGATATAATCGGAAATTGATTTTCACTTTGGCGCTTCTCCTTTTGTCCATGATTGATTCTATATAATGTGTGTGGATAAGTAGTGATGCAGTTTTGTGAGTTTTAGTGGCTTATTTATTTATTTTTAGCAGTGGTAGAATCAAAATTAATACCTAGGTTTTTTGTTTTGTTTTGTTTTGTCTTTTTTTTTTCTTTTTTCTTTTTTCTTTTTTTTTTGTGGTGAGGCTTAGAACGTGATTTGTTTACTTGGCATGTCTTTTATTGTTCTTGATACCAAATAAGTTGTTTGCAAGAGAATATAGTGATGAGAGACAGATTTGTGAACTCAGAGAGGTTACGAAATTTTAGAAAAGTTGAATCGTTTTACATTGAGCTGGCCTTCTTAATGAAGCACAATTGTTAAGAATTAGACGTCCTGATTCTATACTACCGAGAGTAATAAAACAGCTTTTTGAAAAGCAAAAACTAAAACATACAAGATTTGTATTGGTTCATCCTCAATCTGAGAGTTATGTCCACTTTTAGCAGCTACAGAATTATGATGAAAAATACTTCTACAAGAGAAAGTTGTACGGTTCTTTTTGTTACTTAACCCTGAATACGCACCACCTCTTATGAAGAAAAACTAGGACAGCCAAAATTACAAGGTCAATCCACGTAATATCTGTGTGTTAGGGCAGTAATTAGGCTCCATAACTTAACACTCAAAAATTTTGTCAAGTGTCGGTGATTGTGGTTCACGTTCTGGTTTTCCTGCTATGAGGTGGAACTACTTTTTAACATGCTATGATATTATTTACGGTTCTACTACTGAGTGTTGAAACGAAAAGCCTTTTTTTTTTTTTTTTCTTCAAAGTATAATCTTTTCAATCAAGAATTATTCATATGGCAATTAGTAGTCTTGCCCCGTCTCACATTCAAGCAATTTTGGTGAACAATGAGCTTTTGAGTTAAATATGTAACTCTTTCTCGAGCACTTGATTGTGTTATCCATTTACAGGCTTACAGTCCTTTACCTGTACATGCATTGATTTGGGTTTTAATTATTTCTGTACATTCATGATCGTTTCCTATGTATTTGCAAGTGTCATTAGATCATATCATATCTTTCTTTAACGTGATGAAGAACCAACTACATTCCTTCTTTTTCTCTTGATTTCAGTTTGCATCATGTGGAAGTGTCTCCCTGGAATCTTCCTATGAAAAGGCTGCCAGATGTATCTATTCGTCAACTCTTTTATATGAATATGGGGGCTTGGATTTAAAGCCAGTAAAGGTCAATAGATCATGCTTCCAATGGAGTCTAACATATTGTGAGGTGTGTAGATTCACAGTTCTGCTTTCTCTGTTTAGATTAGCAGTGGAATTTTGCTTGTCATTCTTGTTTCATTCGATATGATTGGCCACACCTTTCGATATGCTTTTTGACACTGCAATATTGAGGATAGTCTCTCTCTCTCTCTCTCTCTCTCTCTCTCTCTCTAACTACTTCTAACCATTTTCGTTCTTGCCTTGCACTTGGACTTGAACCACATTACTTTTCTTTACTGGTCCTCTGGCTCTTATCTTTGAGTGTGTCCCTTCACTTGCTCCTTTGGCATTGTTCTACATGCTGCTTGTTTTTCTCATTGAGTGCTCTCCGATTCTCCGTAAGTATGTTTAAGATTTGGAAATGTTTACAGAACCGTAAAGGAATCTAACGGGAAAAGTGATGGGTTTGGAAAGGAAAAATAATGAATAAGGAGTGATTGCATATGCATACCTCCTAGTTTCAACCTCTTTCTCAATTTATCTCATTATTTTCCGTAATTGCAAGGTATCACTGAAATTTGACAAGTATGTTTCATTTCATCCCTCGACCAAATTTTTGGGCGAGAAGGAACTAAAAGACAAAAATACCTTAAATAGTATTTGAAGAACATTTTAAATATATATACATATAAATATAAAGCAAAACCACAAAACAAAACATAACTTTTGAAGGAAACCAGATCTTGCCACCCATAATGTTTTGAAGGAAAAACTTAAAAATTCTCTTAAAATATTTTTAAGAACCCCCTAAATATTTAGGGGTATTTCTGTTGTTCGCTTTGTTTTTTTGGTCCAAAAAGTACCGGAAGGATAAAATTTAAAAATACTTTTAAAATGCAAAGAATTCCTTTCCAGTTTCTAAAAATGGAGAATAAATTGAGAAAAAGTTAAAACTTGGAGGTATACTTATGTAATTAACCTGGAATAAGAATGAGGATTTTCTAGTACTTAGAAAGTGGAATGGGGAATAATCCCATTGACATTCTAGTGTTTACTAAACTTGTAAGAATCTCATCAATGTAAACTACTAAAATGTCTTTTTACATAAAGAAATAATCATTGGCTTATAACATGTGAATGTTTCAAGGATATACAAGTAAATTTGTTATTCATCCCCTTTAACCAAGAATCAATATTCGTGCAAGGATTGACATTTTCTTTGCTAATGATTCTTTATATTGAGTTTGGCCCAAACAATCATTCCCAAGTCTGTAAGCAAACACATGATTAAATGGAAAAAGGAAATTCTTCCTCTTCTCTTTCCGTTTAATGTTAAGTAAACACGTCCTTAATTTTTCCCAATTCTAGGTCTTGAGAGACACCCACTTCCATTGCTTTCATTTTGTGAGTTGTGTTGTTTCTTGGCTGATCATCATCGTGTTTTCTGAAAACATCCAATGTTCTAAGGCCATATGACCTGCGCAGGCATATTTCTAATTGTTTCGTTCTTACCTTTTTGCATCAGCTAGTTTTATCTCATAAGTGGTCGCGACATTACTTGACGAACCATGGATTTTTTCTCATGGAAACAATCAAATAAAGTTTGAACTTTAGCTCTTAAACCAAAAAAGAAAATGTAGGTTTTATTTGTTCTACAACCATTTGAAGCCATTTGATATTTCATGACTCCATCTTGTAGAAGTTATAATTTATGGTCTACTTTGGGCGTTCCACCTGACAGAGGTTCTCCACAGACTTTTACATAACTGATAAGAAGTCTGGTCTCAGAGCCACTGTAAAAGCTGGTTCCGGCTGTAGAGTTATTCCGTTGGTCGTCGAGAGTCAACTCGTCAACACCACAAGACAGTGCAGAATCCTCTCTCCACCTCTCAGGAAATGGTTAAGAGAGAGGAACCTCTCCGATGAACCGCGTCTCCTGCGTCTAGAAGAAGGGTAAACCCCATAACCCCATTGCAGAATTTTTGTGTTTTTCTTGCCTTGAACCAATCTTTCTTAAGAGTTAATCTTTTTGAACATGTGCATCGAGTTTTGGCAGGTATGTACAGGAAGGAAGCACAGTGACTGTAGTTGGAATAGTACGTAGAAATAATGAGACGACGACGATTGTTCAACCGCCAGAAGTCCTGTCCACGGGATGTTTATGGCAAAAGTTGCTTCTCCCCGTTGACATTGATGGACTCATACTTAGCGTTTCACGAATGGCTGTCCATTCTATCAACCAAGATTCTGTGCAAAACATGGATTGGTAGAACTACTAGTGTTTCTGACTCACATATATGGGATATGGCTAAAAGAGCGTAGGAGCTGAATGTTTCGGATGATGAAACTATTATTATGTGAAGCTTTTACAGGGTTTTTTTTTTTTTTTTTTTCATAATCTCCTGTTTTTCTTTCGAATTTTCTAGCTCACTGTATCTTCAACTGTAACAATTTGCCTCTGACAGGCTCATGCAGACTTATTTTGACTAGCATTGATTAGGAAATTCAATGCTTTAACCTAATTCGTTTATGTAGCAGTTATAGCCTCAGTTTCTATGTTATAATCTAACTTTTCTTTTTCTATTTTTTTATTCCTGTTTTCCGTGAAATTTGAGGTCCTTTTTGAAACCTAGATTTTGTGGGAGGAAGAAAAATGAAGAAAATGCGAGGAAACAAAAAGGTGGGCGAGGAGAATTGAAGAAAAGATAATTGAAAAAGAATTATTTGCCCTAATCTTGATGCTAACTTAACCCTCGATCCCTTTCTTAGCTTTGGCACTACCATGAAACTTGCTAGGGCACGACTCGGACCTTGGCCCTATGTCAAACATAGGTCCTATCCTTGACCTTCACCGTTGACACCCTGATTGTAATCTCAACAGCAACCTCGATCAGGGTCGGGGTAGGGTTCGAGTTCGAGTTGTTGTCAGGATGGGTTGGGTAATGACAAAGGGCGGAATTTGGGGGCATGTTTAGGAGTTATTTGGTTGGGGGATTCGTACCCTGATTCGAATCATGATTCGTGGTTCGTTACAGTATTTTCTTTTACAAAAAACACACGTAAATCGAAAATGATTTTAATATCATAATTTTAATCTATGAACCAAACGCCATTCAAACTGGTCGGGGTCAGGACGTGTGTTGGTATCAAGGTTAGGGTAGGGTTCGAGGTTGGTGATGTGACTAGGATCGTTCAAGTTGAGACTAGTGCTGTGATCAAGTTTGGGGTCTTGGAAGGGGTTGGGAAGGGGTTGGGACCGAGGCTGGCTTTGACGTGTGGGAGAAATTGTGTAAAACTACTAAAAATTACAGGATATGACTATTATTTGAGAGGTGAATTAAAATGTGGCTTCGTTGTATAAATATAACTGATATGACTTATTTTTTGAATTATACTTTTTGACAATCCAAAAATACCTTTTTAAGTTGATTTTGTCATGTTTTTAGCTTATAGTAATTTTTTTTTTGAAAGGATTTTTAGTTTTTTTTAGTTTTTAGTTTTAGCAACTAATTTCCATATTTTTCTCAACATCCCAAGTTAATACGCTATTACTCCACACTATTTGAATTTTGAAAATTTTAAAAAACCCCTACCATCTTCAATTTAACGCTTTCAATTTCCTTCTACACTTTGAATTTTGAACGGCCATTGAGTTTTAAGAGCCGTGTAACTGCAAGGTTTTTCTCCTTTTACCTTTTAATTTTTGTTTACATATGCATGTATGTATATATATATATATATATATATATATATATATATATATATATATATATATATATATATATATATATATATATATATATATATCGCATATATTTTACCAATTTTTTGTTTTTGTTTCGTGTGTGTGCGTGTATATATTGTCATTTCTTTATTATTTTGTTTGTATTTATGATATATAAAAGCTCACATTCGGTGGCGTGTTCGTCTCCTAATGCTGCATGTTATTTTTGTTTTGACTTTTTTATAATGATATTATCATTATTCTAATAATATGTAATATTTCTTCGTGACGTCAATAGTTGTGATCTGGTCTATATATTTTTTATACTTATATTGTATTTAGTTTAATGAAATTGTGATTTCTTCAAATATAGATTCTCATCAATTGCGTAATTATATTGCTTGTATTTTAATGATATGCAATTGTTAAATGCTATTAAATTAATAATTATGTTGTCGGTATTTTCATGTAATTTAAATGATAAATGCAGAATAATGGTAATTTAATATCACTCTTGTGATTTGAATTGTTTAAAGACAGTTAATAATCCGCAAATTGTGGGATACAATATATTTACCATCTTACATATATCATTATCATTAAAAAAATAAAAACGTTAACTACCAGCTTATATAATAAAATTAAAATTCTTAATATCATTATTAAGATCTACAATATCATTATATATCTACATTAAGCCATATGCAAAATATTCACAAACTCAAGCCATATTTTAATTCTATAGTCTTAAAATTATGCCATATGTCTTGTTGATCCAAGAAACTATGCTCAACTGGGCTGTGGTAGTTTTGAGCCCTTTCCTTGCAAACGGAGAAAGCTGTGCTGGGGCCTAAAAAGAATGGGCCTAGCCCAGCTTAGAGTTGAAGTTTAAGCCTGTTGGGCCAAATTCTCTCTACCTTAACACTGAAAGTTACTTCCGAAAAGTAGAGAATTTTTTCATCCAAAACAAAAAAGAAAAAATGCTTTTATCCTGATAAATACCTTTTTGTTAGCGTAATTATTTAACTAAAAAAATTATAAGTATGACCCATGTATTTTTAAGGAATATTTGTCAAAATTACTATAAAAAAAAAAAACGAAAGAATTTGGTAATTGGTAGGATAAAAGTTGGAAGCAAGTGTAATTGCATGAAGACTTAGTGGTATCAAACCAAGCTTTTTTGTTTTTATTTCATTTAATTATTATTATTATTATTATTATTTTCCAAAATAGAAGCTGAAAAGTAGCGGTCAATGAGCAAGTAGCATTTTGGACCTTTTGATGAAGTCAAAACTCAAAAGTGCCTCTTGAGAAGGACGCAGATAAGAGAGTCAGGTGGCTTTTTGGGCACCAAGTGGATACTACAGCATAGGGTTGAACTGAACATGATGGAAAATGGTTAGTTTGTGCGTGTTTACTTTTTCAAAGGCTCAGATATTAATCTCTCTCCCTCTCTTAACGTCTTCTTCACTTAAGCAAGAGGCTTTGTTTTGTTGAGCACCAACTTGGCCATATTAACTAGGACCATATCTAATGTAAATATTAAAGTTAATTATATATTTAATATTAAAAAATATGATATAATGTGTTATTTTTATTTTTTTCTAACGTGTAATGTTATTTGAAATGCTAAATTTACTTTTTTCTATAATCGTTAAGTTTTGAAAGTTGTAAAACTTAACTTTTTCTTAAGATAATTAAAAAATGCAACTTTTGCAATGAATACATGAAAAAAGAAAATATTTCAACCAATAGTAATCAAATGTTAAATTTCTAATATGCTATACTTAGTGAAAAATTTACCACAAAATATAGTATATGAGAAATTTAGAATAACAAATAGCATTGTATTGAAGAGTTTTTTTATACTAAAATGCTAAATTTGTAATTGACACTTTAATTATAATATTGCATTGGAGATGCTCTACGAGGAGTGAATAACAAGTCTTTAGCTTTGTTAGCTGTTTAGAAATATTATTATACAAAATGGATATGTATTTTGTGGATATGACTGACTTATTTGTTGGTCAATTTTAGGCATGTTTGTCTTTCTGTATAGGTGAAGGGGTACACAACGTCAAAACCCCTCAATTAAAGCAATAAAAAGTTTCCCGTCTTGGATCAAGTTGTGGATTTTCCTTGATTCTCAGTCTATAAATTAGTCACTTATTAATTCTCTGCTCTACAGACAGAAGCATCATGGCATATACCGAATATGTCTCACCCATTAAAAATGTTAAGATAACTCTAATCTTTAATTTTTATTCCGGTTTACAGCTAATAAAAAGTTCTGTTGGATTATGGACGAGTAATATTTATGTAGGATTGACAAGTTGGAAATACTACTATTATATGTGCTTATTCTCCCCTAGTGTTTGTATCATTAAAAGTGATTAAAGTATTAAACAACTTGGCTAATTGCAGATTAGCTAGTGATTAGGGCAGGGCATCTTAAGATTTAATTCACTTTGATATTAGGGAAGAAAATTCGAAGGAAGCTTACTTGCCTATGAATTGAAACTGCTAACAAACTTCCTCGAGAATTAAACCACATTATATTCCATGTTGACATATTGTTTTTTTAAGTGGACTAGTTCTAGTCAACTTAGTATAACTAATTAATTTCCAGCTAATAACAACAAGCAAGTTTAATTTTATATAAAGTTTTCCTAGGTTATATGTGTAGTATGTGTTGAAAGGGAAAAGAGACCACAATGACCATAATTGTACGCATTTTCCATGATGTCTACACATCTATATTGTTGCTAGATTATAATAAAACCATATTGAAAGCTATATATATACATATATATTAAGACAAATTTTTAATGGTTACGTTTTCATAATGGTTGCCCATCAAATATAAAAATTTGATGACGTGGCGTGATAAGAATCCAATCTCATTGATTGTTATTAATTTTTTAGTCAACTATTTAATTTATTACAACCGATGGATCAATATCTTATGATTAAAACAATAATACTCATTGATGAGTAAATATCTGAGTAATCACTAAAACCATTCTCTTATGTTAATTTTTATTTCTATTGCTAAGTTTTTTTTTTTTTTTTTTTTTTTTTTTAAGTTTCTGTCGATAAGGTTAATTTAAATTGGTAAACAAGAATGTGCGAGTATAATATGAGTAAAAGAAAGTATAATTTTGTTATTGCTATTTTTCCCCCAAACTCTTTTACTTGTCCTCGTAATTAACAGTTTTCTTTATTTATACTCTTAACATATTATAAGGTACGTGAACATAATATATATATATATATTTATATATATATATATATATATCTTAGTTTTAGTAACCCACAAAGAGATATGCCAAATCCCATATGATAAGAACTTTGGGACATCTTTTCCTTTTATTGATAAAAAATGCCATGCTCCTTCATGAAGCTAGCCATTTCTACCCATAACATAAGGACGTACAAGTACTATGCATAAAGATGATCTTTTAGTTCAATGTAAGTATCTTCATAAAGAAAGAGCTTAGATTATGAAGATCATAATTCATAATCTCTCGTTTAATTTATATACTAGGAGACGGAGATATGATTCCTATGCAGCCAAAGGGCTAAGTACTTCTGTAGCTCATAATCGAAATTTATTCATATAAATATGCTAGCTGATCCCCTTAACTTGAATTTAATTAGATCCTAATAAACAAACCGCACTTTAATTAGATTATTTGTCGAGTACTAAAATATGTAGGAAAATGGCGATTAATATATAGTTAAATCATATATTCATGTTTACTACTCAATGTGCTTCTTAAAGTTGGTAAGCTAATTTAGGGAAGTATATGTAGATGGCATATGCTGGGTTTTGGTAGATCAATATTTGATACTG